TGGTGCTCTAACTGCACTCGATGGCCAAGAATGATTGTGCGATTATCCCACTCCGGTTACCTACAAGCAGGCAAAACTCATGTGTGGCCATCGAGAGTGAGGTTGACAACTCCAGGCATGCGTCGACTTGGTGTATTTAGTGAATGTCTCTGTATGCAAATCTGCACATCCACGCGTGGACTTGGAAAAGTATGTGTACGTGATGAATGTGTCTTAGTGTGCACGTCCGCATACACGCGTCGACTTGGAGTGTGTGTATGATGAATGTCTCTGTGCAGATTCCTGCGCATGCATGTTTGGACTTGGAGTTTGTGGATATGATGAATGTCTGTATGCGCACCCCTGCGCATGCACGGGTCGCCTATATCATGAATGTCTCTGTGCGCACACCTGTGCGAACACACGTCGACGTGGAGTGTGTGCATATGATATAGTGACTGCGCATGTGCGCGTCCACTTGGAATGTGCATATGATGAATGTCTGTGTGCGCACACCTGCGCAAGCACGTGTCCGCTTGGAGTGTGTGTATATATTGAATGTGTTGGTGTGCGCACACCTGCGCATGCACGCCTTAACAGAAAGACGTTCTGTAGCCCTGCGACATAAGAAAGAGTGATGCTTTGACACTGCCAGCACCTACCCGAACGTACCGGGGGGCGGTGTGCTGATGGAGTGCTGGATTGCAGGGGAAGCTTCTGTCGTCGAGGTGGAAGGGAATTCTGCAGTCGAAGTCCCATAAGTGAGGCCCAAGAGGGCGAAGACAAACGCCACCAGCGCAGGCACCGCTCGCCAATTTCCGCCGGTAGCCATTTTCCTCTTCGCCCGTCGGGCCCCACTTGCCCCCGCTGTCGATCTCACGGTGACCGGTCGCAGCAAGCGTCTGTCAGGAGACGATGCCATGATGATGTCATATTGAAGATCTAAGCATCGGCTGCCAACAAATGCAGCCCCTACAACGAGAATGAGATCATCGTGGCCCCCGTGTCGGTGCCCTGTCAGACAGCCATCAGCCAGGCCCCATTCATGATGCGTTATCGTGTGTGCGAGCTTGGACGCGGGACTTGGTTGTGATGCGCATACATATCCTTTCGGGTCAAGGATATGCCGACATACGTGTGCCACGCTCACGCTGACATGGGCGCATCTGAGGTTGAATGAGAGATCTACCGGCGTGAGCACCGCATGCATGTCTCATCGATGGCGACTGAGATCCCCATCCCATTAGCGAGATAATGGCGACAGGAGGATCACTGACCCTCACCAGCGAGCAGCTGACTCAGATCCTGCAGCAGGTGGGAAACGGAGGGGGTCCGAGTGTGAGGAATGTGCTGCTCAAGTTCGACGGCGATGACGAGCATTGGGAGCCATTCAGGGGTCTGTACAAGGCCCACTATGCGGCACTGGACGCGGAGACTCTGCTGCCTGAGACGCAGGCCGCCTACGAGCAGATCGGGCAAGACGAGCGGACACGGAAGCGGCAGAAGGAGCTGGCCTTCCACCTCAGCCAGTCCATCGTGAGGACGACAGGGCCACCGAGCAAGGCACAGGAGATCCTGCTGAGCGTCGAGGACGACAAGCAGCGCGACGGGAGCTGGCTGTGGCTGCAGCTGGTCAGCTACTACGACCCACGGCGGGTGCATCAGAAGGCAAGGGACATCAGGGCGTACAACGACTTCAAGCTGGAGTCGGATGACGTCGCGAAGGAGCTGGCACGCTACGAGGGCGCTGCCAGGAGGTGTGGAGCGGCGGGCCAGACCATCGGAGAGATCATGAAGGTCAACAACTTCCAGCGGGTGCTGCACGGCCTGCCCCAGTATGGGGTGTTCCTGGAGATCATCGCGAGTGAGGAGAGCACAGCCACGGCGAGCTGGGACACGTTCAAGCAGCGTCTCCTTAGCGCAAGCGACAACGCCAAGGCGGCGGAGAGCGCGGCAGACAGCAGCACGGTGGCGGCACTTCGCCATAAGCCCCCATCAGGGTCCCCCCAAGGCGAGAGGGGGCAGGGGCAGGCGAGAGGGGGTGCCCAGGGTGGTCCAAGTCGGTTCCGCAAGGAGGGAGCCGCACCAGCCCAGGGACCCGACGGCTGCTGGTACTGCGGCAAGCACAAGGACAAGTGGTTCGCGTGCAAGAAGCTCAAGCGAGACATCCGCGACAACCGCGTCGACTGGAGCCAGTCGCCCTACGGCCAGGAGCCCTTCGGCTTCCAGCGGTTCGCCAGCAAGCTCAGGGCAGCGGCAGTCAACGCCATGCAGGACGAGGGCGATGAGGACGCCCACTACACCGTGGCGATGGTCAGGGCAGTGGACGAGCCAGTGGTGTCGCCTTGCGGGTCGAGTGGTGTGCAAGCGACAAGCCCCGTACAACAAAGCATGGGGTCCGGGGCCCCTAACAAAGTAGCATCTGATGCTCGCCCCGGCCCGCATTCAGGTCAGAATGACGGGCAGGTGGCGAAGGGCAGACAGACAGAGGCTGGCGAGCAAGAGCCCACGCCTGTCTGTCAGTTGTTGTCGGTCAATAGGTGTGCGTCAATGTTGAGCAAGGAGAAGGTGGACGACTTCATGGTCGACTCTGGCAGCGACAAGCACATCACGTGGGACGAGACCAAGCTGCCCAACGTCAAGCAGTGCGACAACCGCATCGAGACGGCGGACGGCACGGTGGTCAAAGCCGACGGCACCGGCACACTCACCCTGCAGACCAGCGACGGACCCCTGGTGCTGCGGGATGTCCTGCTGTGTCGGTCCATCCAGCACAACATCATCAGCTCTGGACGGCTCGGCAAGGAGGGCAAGCGCTTCATCCACGACACCTACAAGAAGGACCAGTCCTTCATCGAGGACTGCAAGACCGGCCACAGGGTGCAGCTGGTCGACAAGGGGATGAAGGCGTATCTCCGCGAGACCGAGCAGCCCGCGCAGCACGTGTGCGAGACAACCACGACATCACCGTCAGGGTCGGCGAGTCGAGAGGGGGCTGGCGATGCGGCTGGCCTTAAGAGGGGATGTGCGGCACCCGGGGCTGCTTCGAGCGCCTCAAGGAACGACCGACAAGGGTCGGAGAGGAGGGCCGGACCGTCGCCGAGTGGCGGAGGTAAAGCCGGGCCCCTTGCGGGAGCTTCTACACACCAGGGAAGTGTCCCCCCTCCCAAAACAGAGCAGATGAGTGAGGCAAAGACTCATGCTGTCTCTGAGTGTGGTGTCAGTTGTCGTGTCGAGCAAGAAGTGGTGGCGCCCCTCAAGTCGACCGAGTCGACCTACATGGTGGCGCACAACCGGCTACACGTGTCTGACGAGACCATGAAGGAGATGGAGCGGTCGACCATCGGCTTCCAGCAGCCCAGCAGCTACCCCAAGGAGAACTACTGCCAGCCCTGCGTCGATGGAGACCTCCCCCGCAAGCCCAGAGGCATCAACCGCACCAAATCGGCAAAACCCAACGACGTGTGGTACGCCGACTACGAGCCCATGCAGGAGTCGAATCGTGGTCACAAGGGCTACCTGATCGTGCGGGATGACGCGTCGGGTTTCTCGTGCGTCTCGCTCATGAGGAACCGAGCGGAGGCGGGTCAGGCGTTAGAGCGGATCATCCAGGTGATGGGCGACAAGCCGAAGGAGCTGAGGAGCGACCAAGCCGGAGAGCTGGGCGGGGGTGAGGTGGCGGGCGGAATGTTCGCCCGCAAGTGCCAGGAGCTGGGCATCAGGCAGCGCTGGACGGCAAGCCACGAGCAGCACCAGAACGGCCCAGTCGAGCGGCGGGTCGGCATCGTCAAGGCCAAGGTCAAGAAACTGAAGTCGATGTCTGGGCTGCCCGACAAGCTGTGGCCGCACGCCGTCTGCCACGCCGTGTAGTTGATGAACCGCACGCCCTCCAAGCCCCTCGCCCACCCTGCTGACGGCCGCAGCATGACCCCATACGAGGCATACCATGGCAAGAAGCCCGACACGAGCACACTGCGGGCATTCGGCTGCCACGCGACCATCCGGCTGGCCAAGCAGAGCGTCATGGAGCCCAAGGGGCGGTACGGCTACTACCTGGGGCCGGATGAGAGCGGCGTGCGTGACTCGGTGCGCGTGCTGCTGCATTCGACAGGCAAGGTGGTGTCGGGGAGGAGCTTCACCTGCAATGAGCTGCGCTTCCCCTGGCTGGACCAGAAGGAGGGGAGGGAGCCCTTCTTCAGCACGTGGGCCGAGAGGGGGGTGGAGGTCGGCACAGACGCCCCACCAGCGGTCCCTGAGGACTTCCCACCCATCATCGCATCACACCCACCACCACCACCAGCACAAGAGCCCGCCCCCCCTGCTGCTGCGCCAGCCGAGGAGCCACCAGCTGACGAGCAAGAGGGGGCAGAGGGGAGCTGGGAGACGGTGGTGATGACCACCAGCAGCATCAGCAGCAGCAGCAGCTACCGCAGCCTCCGCAGATGGGCGTCCCAGACGAATTTGCGGCGGATGACGGGCAGGAGGACGAGGAGCCACGACGGAGCGAACGCGTGAGGCGCCCGCCCAGGGAGTATGTGCCAGAGGAGGGCACATGGCCGGAGCGGCAACAGACGAACGCGCTGACGGCGGGCCAGAAGGTGACCAAGTGGAAGAACAACTACCACAAGCTGCCATCCCGCCACGCCCAGTACCTCGTCGAGCACAGCATTCCGCCAGGAGAGGGAGATGCCGTCTACAAGCGCGCTCAGCTAGCCAGGATGCACAAAGAGGAGCTGCACGAGACGGTGGGCAAGGAGATCAGAAAGAAGATAGCAGACAAAGAGAAGGCGGGCAGACAGGCGATGGTCAGGCAGTATGTGAGTCAGACAGCGGTTTTGACGGACACACACTCACATGACTGCCTGACACACTCTTCATCCTCTTCCTCATCCACATCGCCATCCCACCCACCCACCCCGCCCACCCATTCATGCGTCCATTCACCCAGCCCACCACACAAGCACATCCATTCATGCCAGGCCATTGGTGCCATGCCACCGACACCCACATCCGCAGACACACACGTGTGTGATGCATGTGGTACGGAGCTAGAGTGCGTGCATTGGGAGTGAGTAGTGAGTAGTGTAGATAGCAATGATGCCCGCACAGACACAGTGTGTGGCATCCACTATCTTTGTTGATAACATACATCGAAGTGTCCATCGTT